TAGAAGATGAAAAATAATATTTTAATAAGATAAATATAAATAAAAAATAATAATATTATGTTTATTAATTTATATTTTTATGTAAATTTATATAAGTTAAAAGATGAAAATTTATATTTTTATGTAAATTTTTATAAGTTATAATTTGAAGAAGTTAGAATTTGAATAAGTTCTAATTTGAAGTTAGAATTTGAATAAGTTAAATTTTTCGTAAGTTAAAATATAAATAAGTTATAATTTGAAAAAGTTATATTTATAATAAGTTATAATTTAAAATAAGTTATAATTTATAATAAGTTATAATTTAAAATAAGTTATAATTTATAATAAGTTATAATTTTAATAAGTTATAAATTTAATAAGTTAGAATTAGTTATAATTTATAATAAATTATAATTTTAGTAAGTTATAAATTTAATAAGTTAGAATTGTTTATAATAAATTATAATTTTAATAAGTTATAATTTGAATAAGCTATAATTTTAGAAAATGTAATTTATTTTTAAAGGTTTTTGAAAATTTAAAAAATGAAAATAGTAAATTTGAAAGGAATAAAATAAATACTTGAGAAATGAAAAATAAAATAAATAACTACACAAAGAACATGCACCTAAGAAATCAAAGGTACAAGTGTTTAGTAGTAGTAGTTTTTTTAAAATTTCTATATTTATTTACATGGTTGGTTTTCTGATATCTAAATACTCAAAATTTAAGTTGCATTTAGAAGATAATATTCAATTGTAAAGTTTAATTGCACAAATTACAATGTTGATATATGAGTTGTACTAGTCTCGGCAAAGTTCAAAATTTTTACCAGTATGAACTCATTGACATTCATAAGCTATATCAATAAAATCACAATCACTAAAAACACATATTATACATGATAAATCACAATACATTCACGAACTCAATATTGATCATTATTCTGTTATCAGATTCTTTGAAGGCAAGAACAACCAAAATGGACAAAAGTGGTCACATGCTCACTTGCTTTATACACTAAAGGGTTAAAATGATCAATATATGCATGAGAAGAATCTCTACCATACTACTCACATGTGAGAAACTAAAGCCCCTTTATGTGTCCACAAATACTAAGACAAAAGTGACCAGTGCATGGTAATAATCTTTGCCTTACTATATCACATGTCTTGGGAAATTAAAGCCCTTTATGCGTGATAACATTACCAAATCACTATAAAAAATGACTATATTTTTTCTAAAGACTTGTAATATAGAAACAAACTTGGTCATTTTTCTCGAAAACACAAGCCAATAGAATTCAAAATTATAATGTAATAAGAAAGGGAATTTTTATGAGCATTAAAGAGAAATTAGAAAATTTCAAGCACAAAAAAAAAAATATTAGGTTTAATCAGAATATGTTCTTTTTAGGTCACAATATTATAATGCCTTTTTGGGTCACCTAACATATTCGGTCTTTTCTCTTAATAGAGAAGTTGTATAATTCTCTTTTATATTTCTAGGGACATCAATAATGTCCAAGTTTGACATTAAGAACTTTAGTTATGACCTACATAAGAACAAAATGTAAAAATAAGTCAAATTACAAAAATTAATAAGAATTTACAGTCATCACTAACTAAACTTATTGATACAAAATATATAAATTATTTACACTATTAAATATCAAATCATCCCAAATTAATACATTAAAATGTTTCTCCAATGCATTATCAATGTGTTCATAAATATCAAGACTACATAAAATCAAATCATTATGATGTATATGCTATTCACCATAGAAACATAAACTTCTTCCTCGTTTTTTTTTACTTAGCCTCAACAAAATGTCTTCCTATGCTACAAGCAATGTGCCAAAATCGGAGCTTAATTATGTAAGCTTCAATGAAATTTTCAACCTCATAAACCAATCAAATAATTTATTAGGCAATTATTTGCTTTATCATTATCTTCTATTTATTCATTACATCGTAAACAATATACAAACATACAAATATTTTATCTTAAATTGATTATTAATCTCATAATATTCTATCATGTTGTTAGATGTTGGCTTACTCACTACAAGATCAAATTTTACACACCATTACTTCAATGACAAAAAGTTGAGATATCATTTAATGAAAATAACAGGCAATATGTATGTTTTAACTATTTAAATTAAACATTATATTTACATAATTTACATTTTTCTTCTACTAACTATACAAATTTTATGCTTGTAGGAAAATAATTCAATGCTTTTTCTATGATGATTGTGCCCAAATTGTAATATCATATTTAATTGATTATTGTCCTTATCCATATTCCTCTATTCCTATAAAATCGGTAGAAATCAACACATTTGGTGTACATGGATGTAAATACTTTATTTTCGTCTTATTTCTTTTTTAATTTATCGTTGATTTGTTTTTTAATTCTTTCTACAAAATATAATAATACGAAAAAAAATAAAGATAATTTATGTTTGAATAAAAACAAGTCCTACATCGATAAAATAAGATAAAAAATAACAACTTATATAATATAAACATTCTTCAATATTTAAGAAGCCTTATGAGTATTAATCAAAAATAAAATTATGAAAACTTAGGCCAAAGTAAACAATATCTAATCTTTATAAAATATATTTGTATAATAATCTTATAAAATATTCCCATGAAGCAAAACTCATTAATTTAGTAGTCCAGATATAAAAAGGACGTAAATAATTTAAACATAGAAGTATCCTAAGCTCCAGCGTCATAGAAGTTTGAGTGTGAAAGGTGGGGCGCCATGGTTTCGCTTTATCCACTAGTGTGTCCTTTGTCGGTGTCCTCTTCATCCTCCGGTTTTCTCAGATGCTCCCTTTGGCCTCGTCACTTCCTCTCCCCGAAACGAAGTAGCAGCTTCATAGCAGAGCGCTCTTCTTTCGTCTGCAATGCTTCGTGGCAAGAGGTCCGTACTATTCCATTTCCAAGTTTCTATTTCCAAATGACACCGCTTTCATTATTTCATCCCATGATTCATTAGAGAAAACGTTTCCATTGAAGCTCGCTGGAGTTTTACTATTCTCAGCGATTCCTTTTACTGCCGTCAAAGCTATAGCTAATAGTCCCATAGGTGAGTCGCTGCAGAGGAAAATGGAGGAGAGAAAGAAATTTTCTGTAGAAAACTCGTCTAAATTCAAGGCCTTAGCCGAGGAGGCCCGAAAGGAGAGGTAATCTCCGGTAAGCAACTGTATCTATCGTGTTTGTGGAAAATTTTGTATGCCAACTGCCATGGTTTTTCTTATTCTGAAGATTTATACAAATGAAAAATCAGGGTAGTAGTTTGTTGCATTTGTGAGATATGATGACTAATTAATGTTATCAATTCCAAATATGCGAGAGATAAATCAAAACTAAAGCATCTCTCTCTCTTTTTTATTTTATTAATAATTTAATCTTCCATCATTTTTTAGTTTTATTGGCGTTTCTTTTGTTCAAGGTATGTTTTTTATTCCAGCAACCATGGGTTAGTTAACCCCCATTAGTAGTTAAGTATGCTATCCATTTATTAGTTATATTAGCGAGTTAGTTAGCTGCCTGAGATAGTCTGAAGGAGGCACCTTGCCTTTAAATAAAAATGGGGTTGAGAGAGGGCGCATCTTAATTCTTATCATTTTTGAAAGGTTTAGATTCTTGTTTGGAGAGAGGTTAGTGTCTTTTGAATATCTTTAAGTAACACAATTGTAATTTATCCCTAGTTGTGTTACTAGAAAAATGTAGTGGAGAATAATACACATCAGCTGTTTTTTGTTTTTTAGGTTTTTACTGTTCTATTTTTGTTTTTGGTGAAAAGACACAAGTCCAAGGGCTAGAATCCTCTAGGGAAACAAACACCTGCATCAACTCTTAGAGCATTGTTAATACAATAAGAAGGAACCTCAAAAACCTGAAAAGAAATCAAATATGTAACAGCTTGCTTAGCCGACGCATCTGCTGGTTGATTCGCTTCATGAAGGATATGATTCCAAGTGATGCTTCCTCGATATGAATGAATAGAATGGATTTCATTAACAAGATTGTAGTATGGGTGCGGCATGCAACAACCTCTTGAAACTAATGTAATAGCAATCTACGTATCTGAATTCACCCTTATCTTCCTAAAGCCTCTCGATCAAGGCAATTTAAGGCTAAAGAAAATACCTCTTAATTCAGTTTCAATAACAGGACTTCCCCAAGATTAACTCCAAAACCACAAATAAAAGCTCCTGTGTAGTCCCTTATAACCCCTCCACAAGCAGCCTTACTACCACTCTCAATAACTGCACCATCACAACTAACAGCCACCTCACCATAGCAAGGACACAACCAGCTAATTTGTTGATTATAGCTGTGTAGAATCCTAACATCATTTAACGGTTTCAACATCATCACACCTGCAGCATATTCGCGTGCCAAATGACAAGCTTTTTGAATAACATCCTGCATGGACCAAAAGCCCATTTGAAAGATGATCTTGTTACGTCTCCACCAAATCAAATTCAGAACAATCCCAAACACAAAATTCCACTTTGAATCATACACACTATGATCTTGTTTCAGATTCAAGTGGAGCCAACTCTTTCAATGATTACACGCATGGAAATCTCCAGCATTATCAATTTGAATAAAAAACTGCCAAATCAATCTAACCTCAGTGCAATCCCTGAAAAGGTGAAATAAGGATTCCTCATGTTCCTCACAAAGGCAACATAAGTTATTTTTAGAGAGACCCAACCTCATCCTTCTGACATTTGTCAAAATGGATTCATGACAAATTTTCCACAAAAGCTTCTAATTCTCTTAGGGCCTTTCCAACTGTGAATGCTTTTAAAAGCCCTTGATAAGGAGAAGTCTTAGAATTCGACACAATCTCATAGGCAGACTTCATGGAAAAGGATCCATCACTAGACTTCCTCCAAGCAATGATATCTCTGTTAATTCTCACTAGGAGGAGCTAGTCTCAAAATCCTACTAATAATATGATGTGGGAGATAATAAAAAAATCGCTCCACCATTCAACCCGTAGATCCATTACAATAAGATGTCATTGTTTGATTTAACTCCACTTCAGGCACAGGTCTGGTGGAATTATCTGTTAAAAAAACCACATCCAGGGGGCCAGTAGTCATACCAAAATTTTATTGAAGATCCATTTCCCACTCTCCAAATAATATATCTGCCAAAAACATCCCAAATAGAACATAAACCCCTCCAAAAGTTACTTTCAGGTCTATGAGTATTGACATTGGGAAACACATCTTCTTTACACCCATATTTATTACGAATAATAGAAGCCCAAATAGGCGGCCGTTCTCCGCAAAGCCTCTAGCTAGCACGTAACATTCAGGCTTTATTAACATCTCGAGTCCTTCGCAAACCCAGGTCCCCATCCCATTTATGACTGCATATAGTATCTCAAGCAACCAAATGCATCTTCCTATCATTATCACTGTCCCCCAGATGAAGTTCCGACAAGCTTTCTCAATATCCTTACAAACCAAAATGAAAATGGTAAAAACCCCTATAAATTTTTCCAATCCCTCGGCTTATTTGTATGCAAGAGAAGCCAAAAACACAATCTTTATACTACACCAGAAGCAAGGGTAGAGATAGACCTTTGAAATTAAGGCATTCCTTTCTGACCAAATGCACTGAAGAACTGCATAAACTTCTATTTCCATATAATCATAGCCTCCTTTTTCCTGCCAAAACTTTTCAAATGTATCATGAGAAGTTACTCCAAGGTTGCTATCTTACAATTGTGCCACTTGCTGCTCAATAGGAGAAAGCATTGTGTGAAGTCTAAGAATCTTGGAAGTGGAGAATGTCATTTGTGCTAATGCTATTAACTATAATTTCCAAGTGGAGGACTTAACCTTAGGGAGTTTTAGGTTTACAATTGGGTCTATCAAGGAGAAACTACCAGTTACTAAGATAGCAGGTAAAAAAATTGAAGGGGAAATACATTTAAAAAAAAAAACAGAAAAATTTGATCCTGACTATCACTTTCTTAAGGCTTTCGGATGTGCCTGTTTTCCTCTAGTGCGTCCCTATAATTCCCACAAGCTTGATTTTTGCTCCCATGAATGCATATTTCTTAGTTATTCTACATCTCACAAAGGGTATCATCGCTTATCTCCCACTGGATTTTTTTTTTTTTTTTTTTTTTTATAATCAAAAGATGTTATATTCAATGAACATCGTTTTCCTTACCCTGAACTTTTTCCCTCTACATCCTCTCAACCTTTACCTACTGTACCACCTTCTATTCCTGCCACCATTCCTTTGATATCTACATCTTCCCAACCTCAACCTCAATATACCCGACAGGTCACTATTCCCTCTTCCTCTTCCACCACATCTAATACTTTTGTGTCTCTTCCAAACAGTCTCGTTTCACAAACTGTTCCTTCTAGTCAACTTGTAAATACTCACCCTATGCAAACTCGTTCCATGTCTGGAATTGTTCTACCCCACATTCATCCCAATCTATTACTTTCTCACACAGAACCGAAAACTATCAAACAAACACTATCTAACCCAAACTGGTTTAAAGCTATGCAGACTGAATATATAGCTTTATAGAAAAACAAAACCTGGTCATTTGTTCCTCTTCCCCCTAACAGATAGTCTATTGGTTGCAAGTGAGTGTTTCGTGTGAAAGAAAATTCTAATGGTACTATAAATAAATAGAAGGCAAGGTTAGTAGCTGAAGGCTTTCACCAACGGCCTGGATGGGATTTCAATGGAACTTTCTCCCCTGTGATAAAACCATTAACTATAAGACTGATTTTAACTCTTGCTTTGACCCATCAATGGTCATTGCAGCAGCTTGATGTTAATAATGCCTTTCTAAATGGCACTGTAGAAGAAAAAATCTACATGCAACAGCCTCCTGGTTTCATTTCCAGTGACTCTTCTGGTCTGTAAACTTCACAGGGTACTTTATGGCCTTAAGCAAGCCTCGCGACAATGGTTTGATAGATTGAAACAAACTCTGTTAAAGTTTGGCTTTGCTGACAGCAAGTGTGATCCATCTTTATTTGTGTATAATAATCATACAACAGTGGTTTATCTTCTTGTTTATGTTGATGATATCATCACAGGGAGCCCTCCTTCTCTTGTTCAGTCTCTCATCTAGCGTTTGGATTCTGTTTTTAGTCTCAAGCAACTTGATGATCTTGACTACCTTCTTGGAATTCAGGTGAAACGTCAGTCCCAAGGGGCGCTTTTACTCACTCAAACCAAGTATATACGGGACCTTTAAGCAAAACAAATATGTTAGATGCTAAGCCAATCTCTTTCCCAATGATATCTGGCTTAAAACTTTCGAAGACTGGTTCAAATCTTTTTGTTGACCCCTCCATGTACAGGTCTGTTGTGGGTGCCCTACAGTACCTTACCATCACTCATCCTGAGCTCAGTTTTGCGGTCAACAAGGTGTGTCAATTCATGGCACAACACTTGGACTTCCATTGGGTTGCGGTCAAGTGTATTCTTTTGCTGATCTGTTAGATAGTTGATAGCTTGTTGTGCAAGCTAATCAGTTTGTTGGTTTTCCTTCCTGTATAAAATATCTTTTGTAAAAACTGGTTCAGCAAGTCAATTCATTTTACTCAATAAAATTCAGAAGTATTATTTCTTTTTCTCTTGTTCAATAGAGTGTGCCAGTATGCCTGTTTTCTTTTACTAAGACCATACAACAAACACTAGATAGATTTTAGATCTCAAGAATGTGTGTTTCTCGGTTACTCTACATCACATAAAGGCTCCAAATGTTTAACTCCAATGGATAAGATAGTCATATCTAAAGATGTCATATTTAATGAGGTTCCCTTTCCTTAAGCTTTCTTGTTCCCCTCCAACTCAAATATGTCTCAATCTTCTATTTCTTTCATCTGTCCCCGTTTTGTCCCCGTTCCTATCTCTCAAAATTCTTCATCTCTTGTCATGTCTTCATCCTCTCATTCAACAAATGATTCCTAGCTACATAAGTGAAATTTCTAGCACTTATATACGTATATAAGTAGAGACAACACGTATCTCGTGAGCTAGTTTTCAAGTGTTAATAAAATGACTAGCATTGTGTGTCCCCAACCATTGAAATTCTCGAGCTGTACTGTTCTGAATCTTAAAATGTTACTTCATGTCTTTTATCTTTGATGCAAATTATTAAGAGATGGTAGAGTTTCAAATTATCATTTAATTACATGATTATTATTCTCATTGTTGCTTGTGTCCAAATTTTATGTTTGTTTCGTTAAACATTCACGAATATTTCAGCTTTTGGTATGGAGAAGATCGACCTCGTTGGCTTGGTCCTATTTCATATGAATACCCATCATATCTTACTGGTGAACTTCCTGGGGATTACGGCTTTGACATCACCGGGCTTGGCAAGGATCCTGTGGTACTGCAGAAATACTTCAAGTATGTCATATTTTGAATTTTGTCTTGGAAGCTATGCATGTTATTTCTGCCTGTCATGTATGACCATTGTTCATACGATGAAATGCTTGTTTTTTATTTACTTATATTCTACACATGTAGCAAATATAAAATATGTTAATTATTATTATATACGGTGGGCAATAATTTCCTGTTTCTTCTAAATAGTTTATCAATAATCTGAAATGTTTTCAAAATTGACCGAGAAAAATATTATATAAAATAAAAATGTTTATTAATGATATCTTTAGGGTTTAGTGTGAAGCTTTGTTGAACTTAGTCATATGATCATTTTAACCTCTCTATTCAATAAGCTTTGAGATATTGCATGCTCGGTGGGCCATGCTTGCATCTGTCGGTGCTCTTATTCCTGAAATATTAGACCTATTGGGAGCCTTTCACTTTGTAGAACCTGTGTGGTGGCGTGTTGGTTATTCAAAGCTCAAGGTTAGTATGTCCCATCTCTTTGACCATCATTTGTGTTGTTTTGCTCGTCAATTTGTTGAGCTTCATAACTCAAAAGTTTGTGCTATTAAAAGTAAAATTATTCTCCAGTACCCACTCTTTGAATCTATTATTTAATTGAAAATGTTGGTCAACGATTCGTTCTCCATAAAGCTGCAGATTCTCTAAACATGGCTAAATGGCAAATGCTTATACCCTTGTGGATCCTGATAAATTTCTTCGAAGTTAAAAAATGTAGACTGTAGCTTTGGCATATTTTGTATTTTTTAATAGTTTGTTTGATCATGTTGTTGGTTTTCTCCTTTGCCTCATTGATATGATAATATCAAATATGTGATTTGGCATTTTCTATTGTAACGAGCACTTTTTCCTTTTGATTTGATTTGATTATGTTACACCACCAACACAGCAATATTCTGTGTTCCTTGTCTTGATTTGTTTACAATCTGTTCTTTTCCTCTTCTTTATATTATATGGTTAAGCTTGTTTTTTTAATTACTTTTATCTTCTTCATACCTATTTAGGGAGTTTCAGTGATTTTATTCTGTATTTGTTTGGTTTGCTGGTTGAATTGTTTTGGTTCTCTAGATGGAATGCTTGGTTTTCTTGCCGCCTGCTGTGTTGCAGTATTACTTTGCCTTGATCATGATTTTGAAAACCTGGCCAGACTTAGTGTTTGTTTTTCGGTTACGTTGAACGTAACCCAAAAGCAACACATGAGTTGCTTTAGCTTTTTTGCATCGGAAAGTGAAAAAATTCCGTTGAAAAAATTCCGTTTAAGTAGTTTTGAACGGATTTCCAAACACTCACTTAGCCAGTTCAACCGGTCCAAACTGTTGGGGAGTTTTTTAAAACCGGGGAGCATTCCACACAATGGGTAGTGAGTAAGTCATACAAGTGAGCTTGACACCACAACATAACCTAAAACCTTAAGGCATTAGGTAGGTGGGTTTTTCTCACTTATATATTACTCAACATGCCCAACTCTAACCAATGTGGGACTTCACTTCACACTTGAACTTCAACACAAACAACCCTTAAAACCAGTTAGATATAGAACTGGTCTTGAACTGGCTGAACTGGTCAAGAACCAACGGAAAATTAGTGAAAACTGACGGTTTGACGATTTTGACCTTCGTTTTGAAGAATGTTAGCCTCCATTATACTAATCTAAATGCACTTTTGATGTGAACACGTGTCTTATTTTAATTTAGGTAATCTATAAGTTGTGACAATGAGGAAAGAATCGAAATGTGAATAACTCTAATTTGATTCTCTAAACTTACACAATATATATGAAATTTAGCAATTTTTTTATATTACATTGTAAATTTTAAATAATAATTTTTTATTTTAATGTTTATCTATTTCCAATTTATATTATTTATATTTATTAATTATTTTAATTTTCTTATTATTTTTTATTTTACAAGATATATATTTTTTTCAGTGTATATTTTACAAGATATATAGTATCATTCTTTCACACTCATTTAATGTTTCAGTTAATTTCTTATAATTTCGTGCTAATTCATATTTAAAATGCTATATAATTGTTAATATATATATATATATATATATAATTATTATGAGTTTAACTACGGTAGGACCGATGAACTGTGAATGCCTTCGGTATGATTGATCCAGATTTAAAAGAATTGACTTTGATACTGTACGAGTTTTTTTGTTTATTTTGGCATGCTCTGTATTTTTGTTTCATGTCTCAGGCATTTTGCACTCTGTAACGGAGTACAACTAATAACTTTTTAGAATGAATATAGAAATACAACTCTTACATGTAAGATCAAATGATAACTTGATAAGTTCCTCCAATATCGCAGGCTCTAACTTCATACAACTACACGATCTTGTTATTTCTTAAATGTGATTGACACTCCTTGCTCGTGAATTCTCAATTTTCGACAGGGAGATACTCTAGATTACCTTGGCATCCCAGGTCTTCACTTTGCTGGAAGTCAGGGAGTGGTCGTGATTGCTATTTGCCAAGCACTCCTTATGGTAATGCTTGTATCCCCTATCTACCTGTGAGCTTTGTTAACATTTATGTATAGTTGTTAGAGATTTGACATTGACTAATGAGATGATCATACTGGTGTATATAAATGAGAAATAATCTTCATCTTACAAATTAGTTTTGTAAGGTTGAGTTAAACTCATAACCAACTTTCTAAGAATACTTGTCTTCCATCAGTTTTGAGTTCATGTATGTGAGCGGTGATATGGTGTAGCATACATGATTTCAGATTGCAGTTAGGTTGTATTGGAGATAAATTTTCCATTTTAATTCTGCAAATGAAACGTGGCCTGCAATCCTTCATGTAGAGACATAACATAATGCAACTATAAGGACTGTGTTTAGAAAAACCGGAAAATTAAATTATTTCAATAATCGATCATATGTATAATCGATCATAATCATTTGATGAGAAACGATTTTGAGATATTTAATTTCGTATGGATACAACAAATAATCAGTTTTTATGTAGTTAATTAACTTAAAAGAAAAAAAAAGTTGGTGAGAAATAATCTTTATAAAAACAGCTTAATTTTCAAGAAAACAGCTATTTGCAAATTTATGTTGTTTCAAACACAGTTTATTATAAAATAGCTTCTTTTTTTTTATTATAGAAAATAGCTAAAATATGTGATTATAAGCTGTTCCAAACATGCTCAAAATTTGAAATTTAAATTCCTCTCCCATACAAATTTTATATGGGCTAAAATCAAAAGTTTCAATAATTGGAGCTGCTTGAGCTTGACTACATAACTTTGAGGACAGACATTGATGTCTGTCTATGAAACACCGATATTTTACTTTGTTTCACATATCTGTATTTAATACCAATACTCTATATACTAATTAGAGATTCTTAAACAGGTTGGACCGGAATACGCCAGATATTGTGGGACTGAGGCATTGGAGCCTCTAGGAATATATCTGCCTGGTGATATAAATTATCCTGGAGGAGCTTTGTTTGATCCCTTGAGTCTGTCCAACGATCCTGAAGCTTTTGAAGAGCTGAAGGTAAAAGAAATAAAAAATGGACGCTTGGCAATGGTTGCCTGGTTAGGCTTTTACTTGCAAGCAGCAGTGACGGGTAAAGGTCCTGTACAGAACCTTATTGATCACATCTCCGATCCTTTCCACAACAACTTGCTGGACTCCCTCAACTTCATGAAGGTAGTCAACTGATATCAGAAAGGAATTTACAGTCATTCGGTTACTCCTTTTTAAGGGAATTATAGTCAGAATGGTATAGTCATGTACCCTCCGCATACAATAGTCAAATCTCTGTATAAAATAAATTATTTTTAATTTTTTGCTGGTTAATATTCAGTTTTGGACATAATACATATGAGAATTACCAGGCACATTGTGAGATTATTTTGTACTATATAATTTAATATTATGAGCAAAATGCCTGATTTACTAACATCAATAAAAAATAGTTTAATAGTTAAATTAGTTAATTGTTTATAATTTTTTTTTACATCAAATTTAAAGTTTATTTATGAAATACTCATAGAATTAAATAATTTAAGTGGTGGTTACCATTCCTAATTTAACGGATAATTTTTTCAACTAATAAATATGACTTTATTATTAATTAATAATCCAATGAACGCTTTTTTACTTTCATGAGAATAAAGGAATGTCTAATTATCAGACTTCAAAATAAAATTGAGAGTATAAAATAAAATTAGAAATTAATACATTTGAAAGTGGAAAATTCTTATAATTTGAAATTCGGTCTATAATTCATATATAAAGGATCAAAGGTAGGTAGTAATCCATGATTTAGTTTTTATATTATTAAAATTACTTCAAGATTATATTTGGAGTAACTTCTAAAAAGTGACAATTTAAATGCAACAATTTATATAACAATATGTTTTTAGTGTTTATCACTTTTCACTTTATCATTTATTACATTTCAAATTTTACTATCTTTTTTTTTCTTTCTTTCTCTTAGTTGAAATAATTTTTTTTGTAGATATATATATATATATATATATATATGTATGTATATATTCAA